ATGAATCAGTCCCAGGCCTCGGAAGGGCTCAAGAGGGATTTTGAGAAGCAAGTAAGAGAAGTAGAGGAAAAACTGGGAAGAGAAATGAGAGTGATGCAAGAAAATCATGAAAAACAAGTCAACAGCTTGCTAAAGGAGACCCAAAAAATACTGAAGAAAATAACACCTTAAAAAATAGCCTAACCCAAATGGTAAAAGAGGTCCAAAAAGCCAATGAGGAGAAAATGCCCTAAAAAACAATACTGGCCAAATGGGAAAGGAAGTCCAAAAGATTACTGAAGAAAATACTTCCTTAAAAATTAGAATAGAGCAACTGGAAGCTAGTGACTTTATGAGAACTTAAGACACTGCAAAACAAATCCAAAAGAATGAAAAAATAGAAGACAATGTGAAATGCCTCATTGGAAAAACAAGTGACCTGGAAAATAGATCCAGGAGAGAGAATTTAAAAATTATTGGACTGTCTGAAAGCCATGATCAAAAAAAGAGCCTAGACATCATCTTTCAAGAAATTATCAAGGAAAACTGCCCTGATATTTTAGAACCAGAGGGCAAAATAGAAATTGAAAGAATCCACATCTCCTCCTGAAAGAGATCCCCAAAGGAAAACTCCTAGGAATATTGTAGCCAAATTCCAGAGTTCCCAGGTCAAGGAGAAAATATTACAAGCTGCCAGAAGAAACAATTCAAGTACTGTGGAACACAATCAGGATAACACAAGATTTAGCAGCTTCTACATTAAAGGACGAGGGCATGGAATATAATATTCCGGAGGGCAAAGGAGATAGGATTACAACCAAGAATCACCTACCCAGCAAAACTGAGTATAATCCTTCAGGGGAAAAAATGGTCATTCAGTGAAATAGAGGACTTTCAAGCATTCTTGATGAAAAGACCAGAGCTGAATAGAAAATTTGACTTTCAAATACAGACTCAAGTGGAACATGAAGAGGTAAACAGGAAAGAGAAATCATAAGAGACTTATTAAGATTGAACTGTTTACATTCCTGCATGGAAAGATGATATTTATAACTCATGAACCTTTGTCAGTATTAGGGTAGTTGGAGGAAAAAATTATATGTATGTATGTACAGATAGATAGAGGGCACGGGGTGAGTTTAAGATGAAGGGGTCATATCTGGAGAATAAAATTAAGGGATGAGAGAGGATCATACTCAGTGAAGGAGAAAGGGAGAGGTAGAATGGGGTAAATTATCTCACAAAAAACCAGAAAAGAAAAGGCTCTTACAGTGGAGGGGAAACAGGGGAAGGTGAGAGGGAGTGATGAATCTTATTCTCATAGGATTTGGCTTAAGGAGGGAATAACATACACATTCAATTGGGTATGGAAATCTGTCTTACCCTACAGGAAAATAGGGGGAGAAGGACAAGAGAGCAGGGGGATAGAGAGGAGGGCAGATTGGGAAAGGGGTAATCAGAAGTAAATACTTCTGAGGAGGGACAGGGTCAAAAGAAAGAATAGATAGATGGGAGGGCAGGATAGGATTAAGGGGAATAGAGTTAGTTTTTCACAAATGCCTACTATGCAAGTGTTTTGCATAACTGCACATGTATAACCTATATTAAGTTGCCTTTTCAATGAGGGTGGGTGGTGAGGGAGGGAGAAAATTTGGAACCCAAAGTTTTAAATACACATGTTTAAAAAAAATGTTTTCACATCCAACTGGGAAATAAGAAATACAGGAAATGGTGGACAGAAATGTATCCTGCCCTACAGGAAAATAGAAGGGGAAAGGTATAAGAGAAGTGGGAGAGAGATAGAAGGGAGGGCAGACTAGGGGAAGGGGTATTCAGAATGCATGCCATCTTGGGATGGTGGGGAGGGGCAAGATGGGGTGAAAATTTGGAACTCAAAATCTTGTGGAAGTAAATGTTGAAAACTAAAAATAAATAAATTTATATTAAAAAAAAACACATACCAAATTGCTTATAGTCTTAGGGAGGGATAGGAGAGAGAGGAAGGGAGAGAATTTGGAACTCAAAATTAAAAATAAAGAATGCTAAAATTGTTTTTTAAATGTAATTGGAAAAATATTATTAAAAAAAGAAATTAGGTTTAAAGCAACATCTTCTACCACTTACCATAATAATCTCAAAATTGATAGCTGACCTGATTATGCCAAAGGCCATTAGAAGTCACTCCATAAAAATTTTAGAAGAGAATGAGATTAAGTGCCTCTCACAGCTGTGGTTACAGGGAGAACTATTAACCAAACAAGGAATAGAGGAGTTGATAAAATATAAAATAGACAATTTGACTACATAAATAAAAATAACACCAATAATTATGATGATGACAATGATGATGATGATGATGATAATGATAATGATAGCAAGCACTTAATCAATAGAGATAGAAGAGATATAGTAAAATGTGAATTAAATTTACATCAAATACTGCTGGGAAGTAGCACCAATAAATAACATCAAGAATTATTGTGGAATAGAAACCGGTTGAAGAACCAAACATGCACTTTTCAAAAGATTTTCAGATAATAAATGGCCACACGAAAACATGACCCAAATTGGTAATAGAGATAAGTGGCCCCAGTGCTTAACACAGTGGCTCTCAGGAAATGCTTGTTGATTCAGATGCAAATTAAAACAATTCTGAGCCTTCACCTCCCTCCATCCAAGAGGGAAAAGATAAAAAAAGGGAAAAGTAAATTTTGAAAAGGATTTGGGAAGACAGGAACACTGATGCAGTATTGGTAGAGTTACAAAATGGTCCAGCCATTCTTTGGAAATATGCACGAAAAATGTCCAAGCTGTTCATACTCTTTTTCCGAGTATTACCATTACTAGGCCTACACATTAAAGAAGTAAAAGATAAAAATCAAAGGTCTAATCATATCAAAATATTTATAGCAGCATGCTGTGTGATAGTCAAAACTGGAAACAAAGTGGGTACCCACTGATTTAGGGAAATGACTGAAATATAATTTCGCAGTAAAAATGAGAAACATGAAGAATTTAGAGAAATGTAGAAGATTAGTATGCATTGATTCCAAGCAAGACAAACAGAACCATGGCCACAATATAAAGAATGACTACAACAATGTAAATTTAAAAAAATCACTAAAAGGAAGGTAAAACTCTAAGTAATAGATCAACTAGTAAAAGTCTCAGGTAAGAGAGAATGAAATATATTCTCTTCCCTTATGCCAGAGAGGTTGGGGGATATTAGGACACAATATCACATATATTGTGAGACACTCTTTGCTTGGGATATTTTGCTTAATTGTTCAGTCTGGAACAGAGGGATATGGGTATGTAAAATGGGTATGTAAAGACAAAAGGAATCAATAAAACACTTTAAAATAAAAAACTTAAAAAAATAATAAGTGAGGTAGAACTTATGGTCTCAGTATCTAGTTCTGACATTCTACACCTTCAGTCATCTATTTCTTTAAAGAAAGAAGAGAGATTCATTACTCATCTCTTTTTCCCTGAGACTAGTCATTGTAATTACACAGCATTTGACTTTGCTTTAGTGTCTGTTTTATTTACACTGTAATAATCATCAATTTGCCAAGTCCTGAGAGTTTCTCCATCACCAATGACACATGGTCCAGGAAGAAAGCAGACTGCTTGATTGTTATGATCAGATCCATATATAGCTACTCAATACTCCTCAATAGTGAGTCACCAATCACCCATTTCTGCTTCCTGCAAAGGTTACTGGACAGTGTCTCACCCCATGGCTCCTGCGGATACATTCATTATGCCATCATCTATCTAAGATCTTACACTTTCTATTCTATGTCAACCATAGAATCACAGGATGTCAAAGCTAGATAGAATCTTAGAACATAGAATATCAGAATTAGACTGTTAGACATAGAATACAGAATTTCAAAACTGGCAAGGACTTTAGAGTATCAGGTCCACTTTATAACGGTATTATGCAACTAATAATTAAAATTTATACAGCAGGTTAAGGTTTACATAGAAAGTCAAACATGGAATTGTAGTGCTGGGAATAACTTTAGGACAAAAGATACATAATATTAAGTCTCAAAGTAATTTTAATTCAGATAATATGGAAATCCAGAACTAGGAAGGACCTTAGATACTATTGATTTCAGATGAAAAAAAAAAAAAGGAACAGGAGCAGCTGGGCCCTGGAGTCAGGAGGACCTGAGTTCAAATCCAGCCTCAGCTACCTGTGTGACCTGGGGCATGTCACTTAACCCCAATTTTCTCAAAAATTAAAAAAAAAATTAAAAAGGAACAAACAACTGAAAGATGGAAAAGTGAAGTGGCTTACCCCAAGGTCTCATATCTAGTAAGTGGCAGAGATGGCATTAGGCCCGAGTTCTTACTTTCCGGCAAGAAGGATAAAGGAGATGGTACAGAAAGGGCATTTGTAAAGGGTGGTCAGTGATTGTCTTGGAGAGGAAGCACTGAAGTAAACCCTATGAAGGAGAAAGCGTGACTCCTAATATCAGTGCTTGTGACAACATTTCATTCACCCCATGTTAGTCCTAGCTTCACAAAGGAATGGCACCTAAGGTGAACCTTGAAGGAAGATGAGCAATCAGAAAGGCAGAGATGAGCAATGAAGACAGGTAGGCATGGGAGCCAGTCTATGCAAAAGCACAGAGGTAAGCGATGGATTGTGTAGCTGGAGGAACGGCTAACAGTTGAATTTGATTGGAATATAGAGTGAATGAAACAGAATAAAATGAAACAAGATTGGAAAGGTGGAGGGGGTGCTTAAGAGAAAACTGCATTATTCAATCAATTACAAGACACTTAGAAGATGACAGTAATTTGCTTACACAAAACAGAACTGCTTCTATTGTGCCTGCCCTATCCAATGTTGCTATATTTGGATGCTTTTGTTGGCAGCCAGAGACCATAACCAGTCCTGTGCTGTGAATGGCACTTAGCACATTTGGGTCAGTCATACGCATTTATTAAGAAAACCATCAAGACAATAGGGCTGCTAATGGTGAGAAACTGCAGACACTCACCTTTGATGGACAGTGCTGGGCACATCAGAGGTGGGTCTTGATGCATTTCTACTTGGTGACTGGTCACTCAATTCGGTTTGCTTCTGAAGCTTGTAATTGTCCATCCTTTCAGCTGAAAGAAAAGTACTTCCATTAAACCATCAGTTCAAAATAACTCTCTTCCGAACTTTGTGTGACAAGTGAAATATATATATCTTTTCACAGCCAAGTAGTCACACATTTCTCTTGAGATCTTATTAATTTGACTAGGAAAAAAATCTTTCAAAGATAAATTTTACTTGAGAACTTCTTAAGATTTTAACCAATTGTAGTTTAGCGAGAACAAGTTTGATGTATGAAAAAGGGCCCTAGACTGGAAGTCTGTAGACATAGGTTGTTAATGTTCGCTTTGTTCTTAGGAGCTGTGTGACCTTGTTCAAGTGACTTCATAATAACAGTAGTAATTTCGGTTTACTTATTTGTAAAATGAGACAGTCATGCTAGTTTACCCCTTTCAGCTCTAAATCTATGACCCCACTACTTAAATTATAATAATCACTCATTACATTTCACTGACAAGCAGTGTGGCATAATGGTCTTGTCAAGTTCCAGTGGATGCTCTGGTATATTGGCTGCATGACCATAGAAAAGTCATTTCAATTCTCATTGCCACAGGCAACATTTTTAGATTGGCAGCTGTTGTTCTATTTTTGTGGGGGGAGCTTCTTCATCTGGACCTCCTTACACAGATGAAATCACAGGTTCTTTAAATATTTTTACTTGAAGAATCCATGATTCTTTGCAGAGATAAGAGGCTGTGGGTATGGACCATACCATACTGCTTTTTCCAGACAAAAGGTTATAAACTGTTGCTAGGCCCAAAGCTGAGGCCCAGTCCATACACAGAATTTCTTTAACTCTGAATGTCAGAATTGGATGGGACCATAAATATATAGAACACAGAATGGGAGAGCTAGAAGAGACTTCAGATATAGAAGAAGGCATAATGAGGTCCATTTGGTGAACATAATAGATTTTGACTTAATATAAGTAATAACTCCCTAACAATTAGCACTATCCAGAAATGGAATGGCCTACCTAAAGGAGTAGTGGTTTTCCCATTATTACAGGTTTTCAGTTAGGGACTGGATGACAACCTGTTGGAGATCTTGGAGAGGGAATTCCTTTTTGGGTATCAGTTGGACTAGATGCCCTCTCAACTTCTATGAAAAGGTCAGAGCTAAAAGAGACATTAGAACAAGAAGCAAACAATACAAGCTATAGAAGTGGTCTTGTAGATCACTTCATCTAATCCCCTCATTTTACGGACGAAATAAAGACCTGAAGAGGGGAAGGATGTACCATGTCCAAGGTCACATACATATCAAAACACAGGGATGAAAATTCACGTTGCTTCACTCTCAGTCCAGTATTTCTAACTACATGAATGAACAACAATTTTAAATACTTATTCACAACTCTTGAAGATACAAGATATTGAGGAAGGATACTCCTCTTTTCTTTAATTAATAATTATAATAATAGCAACAACAAATAGCTAACATTTACATAGTGCTTACTATGTGCCATTCACCGTGCTAAGTGCTTTAGACTTATTATCTCATCTGATTCTGACAACTTTAGGAGGTTAATCCCCATTTTAAAGATGAGGAAACTGAGGCAAATAAGTGACTTGCCTAGGGCCATATAGACAGTTAAATGTCTGAGGCTGGATTTGAACTCAGTTTTTCTGACTCTAGGTCAGATACTCTATCCAACATGCCACCTAGCCAACCCAATTAATTAGCTAGAGGCAGTTGGTTGTGCAGTGGACGGAGTTCTGGACCTGGAATCAGGAATACCTGAGTTCAAATCCAGCCTCAGACACCATCTGTGTGACTATGGACAAGTCATTTAATCTCCCTGCCTCATTTTCCCCAACTGTAAAATGAGGATAATAGCACCTACCCTGCAGGGTTGTTGTGAGGATCAAATGAGATAATATTTGTGAAAAAGACTTATTAGTATAGTGCCTAGGACCTAGTAGCTACTATATAAATGCCTATTCTCCTCTCTCTTTTACCACTAGCCCATTTAATTTGGGAAATCATTAATTTCTGGATAGTTTGCTATTATTCAATGTATTTCTAGAGGTCAAATCCAATTAAAAATCATTTATTCTCCAAAGTAAACTCAACAACGATGTCGACTCTCAGAAAGAAAATCAGACCACAGAGAGTGGGGTACCCTGTAATGCCTTGAGCTGATGGAGTTTTCTCTCTTCGTGACCCTGCATGATTTTCCCAATTTGTTGGTAGTAACTGTGGACGAGCCTGTTAACATTGCTGCTGGTCACATATACGCTTTCTACAGCTGCTTCTATCAATGTCCCCTGTTCCAAAAAGAAAAAGGGAAGGATACGGTTTTAGATAGGTATCAGGATACAGTCTTTCCACCTCCATGCTGTTGCTCACCGGGCTCCTTATGCATGAGTTAGGGTGGTGGTGATGTGAATGTAGAGAAGGTTGCAAATAGGGTGGTATTGTGGGGGGAGAATAGACAAAAGTTGGCAGTTTAGGGGGAACTAGGGAAAGAGCCAAGGATGATGAGATGAACTTTTTAACAGAAGAAAAGAAAGGAAAAAGCATCATTGAAACACCTAAAATTATGCCCAGAAAAGAACAGATAGAAGTAAAGAGAGAAACACAGACAAGCTGAATAGCTTCTAAAAACATGTTGAATTTATTAAATGCTTTTTAAAAAAGAGCTATAGATATAGGAATTTGCATTTTCACATATGATTCTATTTTTCTGCTGTGTTTATAAAAATGTTCACGGAGGGGAATGTTTAAGTTTAGAATTTTTTTAGAAAAATTAAGAACAAAGAGTCATAGATGACTCCCAGACTGTAAACCCCTGTGTGCTGAGAACCGTGCCAAGCAGAGGAAGAATGGTGAAACACATTTTTCAGAAAACACGCCCCATGTCAATATGAACTTTACATGCTAGTGGCAGAGATCAATAAAATAATTGGTAACATTTATGTGATACTTTAAGATTTGCAAAATGCTTTACAGATATATTATTATCATAACAACTTTGGGAGGTAGGTATCATTATCACCCCATTTTACAGATAAGGAAATGGAAATAGATGGCAAATTGACTTGCTTAGAGTCCCACAGCTAGTAAGTATCTGAGGAAGGAGCTGAATTCAAGATCTACTTGACTTCAGGTCTCACATTCTAACCACTGTATCACCTCTCTGCCTCCCAATAGTAACACCACTGTGCTGTCAGAGGTGCATGATATCAGGCTATTTATGTGAGGTCTGAAGGGGACATTTCATCAAAGCGAGAACTTGAGAAGATCTCCCTTCTCTGTAACTCTCTGCCACCATAGGTGGCCGTTTATATGTTGGCCACCGTGACTTCTAGCAAGTAGGTGTGTCTGTTAGCTATGATGAGAGTCAAAGAATAAGCAGGAACCTTCAGAGGGAGAAAAAGTATCAGCCACCTTCCTCTTGCTTTCAAAGCCATCAAGGAAAATTTTGAAACATCTCTTAAACATCTCTTGAGCAGGCTGCAAGCAGAGTGGATAAGATGCTAGCATTTAAAATTCTAAAACTTGGGTATGAGACTGAGATCTATGTCTGATTAGCTGTGTTACCTCCCTGGTAGTATTAATAACTCGCATTTATATAGAGATGTAAAGATGAGAAAGCATTTTTCTCAATATGAGTGGAAAAGTACTATATGACAGATGATGAAATTATAGGTTAGGAAGGGAAAGTGATTTGCCCTGTGTCACACAACTTCGTAACAGGATGAATCAGAAAATGGAACTGGGTCTTTTAACTCCAAATCCAATGTTCTTTCCACTATAGAATGCCGGCTTTCTGAGCCTCACTTTCCTCATCTATCAAATGGCTACAATAATACTGCATATTTCAAAGGGTTAGCATGAGGATTAAATAAGGCAATGCACATAAAGTATTTTTCAAACTACAAAGTGTTATGAAAATGTGTATTATTTTTTAGTCAAGGATCAATATGATTTCCTCCTTAAGGCATTATTCAGGCACTACTTTTGAATTATGTGATTATGAAAATCTTTTCATGTCTTTTTATTTTTAAAACATTTTATTGATGCATTTTATCTTTATATCAAGTCATTTCAACACCTCTCTCCCCAGTTGACCTTTCTTTGTGATTAAAAACAAATTAAGCACAAATATTTGAGTGACTGCATTTCACAATGTATATATCAGTTTGTCCCAGTAACCCAACATCTCTCTACTGTGAGGGAAAGACATGTTATGTTATCTGCTTTCTGGTAACTTCACCGTTTTTCAATTACCCAGCATTCAAACTTCTTTTTCATTTATATCATTATACTCTGAGTATATTGGTTTCTTGGTTCCACTTATTTCATTATGCATCATTTAATATAATATAAATCTTCTCATGTTTCTTGGATTCCTCAGTTACCTTTTCTTACTGCACAATATATTCAATAACTTTCATAAATCATAGTTTTCCATCTGCCTCTTCTGTTTCCCTCTCCCCAATTTTTGTTATGACAAATTTATCAAGGAGTTCCAGAGTCCCTCTTACCTTAAAATCATCTCTGTCTTTGGCTCGGCTTTTGGCCATATCACACCGAGCATGCTCAAGCAAGGCCTCTCCAATCACCTGCTGCATGTGTTGGTGAAGAAACTGTATACATTCCTGTACTTCCACAATGAACTGCTGATGGAATTCCAAACGTGTCTGTTGAGTTTCCTCCTTTACTTTCCTCTCTTCTTCCAGGATACGAGACTCCTACAGAGGTAATGAAAAGGAAACGGATGCTAACTTTCCCTCAACTGGATTGAGAGAGCCCTTTTACTATTATTTTTTTCTTTTAAAAATGGTTTTCTTTTTAAAAGGTAAATTTTTTTTTCATTTTTAAAATTTATTTATTTTGATTTATCAACAATCACTTCCAAAAGCTCTTGATTTTAAAATTTTTCTCCCCCACCCTTCCCACCTCCCTTCCCAAGATGGCATGCCATCTGATATAGGCTGTACATATGCATTCCTATTAAGCATATTTTCACATTATTCATGTTGTAAGTAAGAATTAGCACCAATAGGGGGAACAATCAGAAAGAAGAAATAAAACAAAACAGAAAGAAAAAAAAAGAGCAAATAGTACACTTTGATCTGCATTCAAACTCCACAGTTTTTTCTTTGGATGTGGACAGCATTTTCCATCATAAGGCCTTTGGAGATGTCTTAGGTCCTTGAACTGTTGAGAAGGGCCAAGTCTATTAATATTAGTCATTGAACAACATGGCTGTTACTGTGTACAACATTCTCCTGGTTCTGTTCACTTCACTGAACATCAGACCATACAAGTCTTTCCAGGTTTTTCTGAAGTCCTCCTGATCATCATTTCTTATAGCACAGTATTCCATTACATTCATATACCACAACTTGCTCAGCCATTCCCCAATTGATGGGCATCCTCTCAATTTCCAATTCTTGGCCACCACAAAAAGAGCTGCTATAAATATTTTTGTACATGTGGGTCCTTTTCCCATTTGTATGATCTCTTTGGGACATAGCCCTAGAAGTGCTATTGCTGGATCAAAGGGTATGTACATTTTTATAGACCTTTGGGCATAGTTCCAAATTGTGCTCCAAAATGGTTGGATCATTTCACAACTCCATCAACAAGTGTTCCAAATTTCCCACATCTTCTCCAACATTTGTCATTGTCACGTTGGCCAATCTGATAGGTGTGATGTGGTACCTCAGAGTTGTTTTGATTTGCATTTCTCTAATCAATAACGATTTAGAGCATTTTTTCATATGACTATAGATGGCTTTAATTTCTTCATCTGAGAACTGCCTGTTTATACCCTTTGACCATTTAGCAACTGGGGAATGACATATTCTTATAAATTTGACTTACTTCTCTATTTGTTTTAGAAATAAGGCCCTTATCAGAGAGACTGGTTGTAAAAATTCTTTCCCAATTTTCTGCTTTCCTTCTAATCTTGGTTGCACTGGCTTTGTGCAAAAACTTTTCAATTTAATGTAATCAAAGTTATCTATTTTGCCTTTCATAATGTTCTCTACCTCCTGTTTGGTCATGAATTCTTCTGCTCTCCATAAATCTGATAGGTAAACTATCCCTTGCTCTCCCAGATTGCTATAGATGTCAGAAAAACCAGGAAAGATTTACATGAACTGAGGCTGAGTAAAGAGAGAAGAACCAAGAGAACATTGTACACAGTAGCAGTAACACTGTGTGATGATCAACTATGATAGATTTAGCTCTTCTCAGCAATATGATGATCCAAGATAATTCCAAAAAACGTATGCTGTAAAATGCTATCCACATCCAGAAAAAATAACGGATGGAGTCTGAATGCAGATGAAAGCATACTATTTTCACTCTCTTGCTTTTTTTGTGTGTTTTTTTCCCCTTTTTTCTGTTTCTTCTTTCACAACAGGACTAATGTGGAAATATATTTAACATGATTGCACATGTATAACCTATATCAGATTGTTTGCTGTCTTGGGGAGTAGGAGGAAAAGGAGGAGAGAGGAGAGGGAAGGAGGGAGAAAAACTTGGAACTTCAAATCTTATAAAAATGAATGTTGAAAACTATCTTTACATGTAATTGGAAAAAATAAAATACTATTTACATTTTTAAAAAAAAGATTGTGTCTCTCAGACTAGGTATCCTCAGATTTGGGATACTCATGGGTCTGGTCCCATGGGAGCTTAGACCTGCTCTGTTTCAAAACCTGGACAAGTCTGCCACTCTTTGGGCAACTTGGTGGCGTCCTGTTCCCCAAACGGCTCACCACATTAATGCCTAACTTAGCACAGACATCCAACAGGTATAAGCCTATTGCAACTCAGAGTTCCTGAACTCAGTGATATGCCATCCTCAGCCTCCTGAGTAGCTGGGAGTATAGGAGTGTGCCTGAGATGTTAAGAGGTAACTACATCATTCAAGGTCCACTTCAAGTTCCATGACCTCCATGAAAGCATTCTGGGCAAAATGATTTCTCCTTTTCCTGATTGCCCACAGAGAGCTCCCAGATTTTTTTTTCACATAATTTAAGACTTATAGACTGTCAGTGGTATAAAGAACCTAAGATTCTCAGAGGTAGTAGGGGTCTTAGACCACAGAACACAAAGACTACCAAACGTTAGACCTGGAAAGGATTTTAGAACACAGCATTTCAGAACCCACAGTGACCTTAGAACACAGAACATAGAATGTTAAGGTTCAAAGAGTGTTCAGAGACCTAGTTTAATCCACTCTTTTTATTAGTGAGGAAGGCCCCCCAAAGCAAGAGGTTATACCACACCAGTTCTCCAAGCTCCCAACTGGATGCTTATTTTGCTATAGTATCTTTGAATTTTGATTCTATACTGCTTTGTATTTCAAAACTTTGCTCTAATGTCTTATTTATCATTTTAACTATATAAGCCTTGCTTCCCTACTGAATTGCAAGTTCAGGGTCAGATATATATAGATACAGATATATGCACACACACATATATGTATATATGTATATACACATATACATACACACATATACATACACACACATACATATATTTATGCAGCTTTGGCTACCCTAAGTACTAGGGAAAAACAATTTAAATCGATTTTTTTTTCAAACCATTGAAAAAGGAAACTCTATTGAGTGACCTCAAAAGACTATTTATCATAGTTCAATTCAGTTATTTGTCACTGTGGGCAAGCCCCTTTCTGTTTCTAGATCTGTTTCCATCGATCCATCGATCCATCCACATCACACACACACACACACACACACACACACACACACACACATACACACAACCATGTTATATGTTGTATATATGACATATACATAATATATATTATGTACATATACACACATATGCATGTATGCATATATGTGTGTGTATATCTATCTATCTATCTCTCTATCTATGGAGAGAGAGAGAAAGAGAGAGAGAGAGAGAGAGAGAGAGAGAGAGAGAGAGAGAGAGAGCGAGAGCGAGCACATTTGGATGAGATGTGCCTCAGAGATCCATTCCAACTCTGAGATCCTATGATTTGACGATGAAATGCTATCTGAGGTTGCTTGCACATTTAACAGTCTCTGACTCTTAGACGATTCATTCTGTGAAAGTGCTGTCTTAAGGCAGCAGCTGATGACTTTGTCTCATATTGACCAGACTGACACACAGGAAAGAGAGGCCAGCTGACCAAGCATCCTCTTCTGTCAGCACCTTAGACTGCTAACTGAGAAACTTCACAAGTACAAAGAATGAATTCAAAATATTACTGACCTTTGGTGATGCTGAAGGCCTTGCTAAGGACACTGTGGCACTAATGGTGTCAAAGAAGTTGGTTCAAATCAGGATGAGTAGACTGTTAGAATTTGGGACCAGAGGGAAGTCAGAGAAGGACACTGACATGTAAGCATACTGTTTCTAGGCATAGGGGATGGATCTCTATTAACAAATAGGAATCAGAAGCCATAGTTGATATTCGAATATCCACCATAGCGAAACATGGGTTTTTCATCATAGATTTATGTGAAGAATTGATAGTTTTTTGTACCTGTTTAATTTTCCTCATCAATATCATCTTCTACCTTTGGCAAATCAGATTTAAACCATCAGACTTCAGCATTTAATCTATGAATGATAAATCAATGAATTAAGGAAATCGGAAAGAGCATATAAAGTAAGTGAGAAGATTGGCGAGATCTGTTGCTTCATCCTTTGGAGGTGGTGGCCACAAGAAAAGCTACTGGATTTAAAGAAAATAGATGACAGCATAAAAAATAATAATTACATGAATAATTCATTTTTCAAAGTGCTGTACTTAGAATAACCTTGGGAAGGCAGCAGTGCCACATTCTAATTTCCCCATCTTATGGGGAATAAAACTAAGGCTTGGAGACTTGCTTAGGTCATATTGGTTAGTAAGTGGCATAGTCAGGGCTCAGACCCAAGTCTTCACCTGAAGAATTATTATATCACAATGAAAAGAGCTTGTTTCTGAACTTTGATTTGTCATCTATCATAGACTTTTCACTACTTTTTTCACAAAGATATTGCTGAAAGCTACATTTTAAGGTCTCAAGCCATTCAATTTTGGTAAAATCTCAGTTATTTGGCCAAGCTCTCTGGAGATAATTTTGGTATGTTTCTGTTTGCTTTTTTTTCAGTCTCCAAGTAATATGAAGTTAGGTTAGATGATTTATTACACCATGAAGTCTCTTCTAGTTTCAACATTCCATGTTTGAAGATCCCTTCCAGCTCTAAAAATCTATAGGATTTTAAAGGGTTTTCCAAATCTAACATTTTAAGCTGTGTTCTAAGTTCTGTGCCAGTGCTAACATCGTATATTCTAAAAGCCCTTCTAGCTCTACCACTCTTTGTTCTATATTCTAAGGTCTCTTAGAGCTCTAACATTCCCTGTTCTAAAGGCTTTGAATAAGATCTAGATATAGAGCTAGAAGAACCTGGCGGCCATGGAGTTCAACCCCCTCATTTGATAAATGAGGAAACTGAGTCACACAGCTAATAAGTATCTGGGGACAGATTTGAATTCAAGTCTTTCTGATTCTAAGTTCAGAACTCTAGTCATTATTCTATGCTCCATTTTTTTTACTAAGTCTATAATTATAATGGCTTACAGAAATAAAGTCCCCACTTCTACAAGTTCTCATAGCAGAGGCAAATTTGTGAAAAGTCTACCTCCACCTGCCAATCATGAAAATGACCTGTCTCCCCACTCAGAGTGAACATT